GTTGCGATCCGTTGCCGGACACGGAAAAAGACAAAAGACAAAAAAAAAAAAAAAAGTGTTGGCGAGGATTTGAAGGTAAGGAGACTCCACATCTCCCGTTGGTGGAAACTTAAATTAGAACACCTATTACAGAAAACAATAAGAAGTTTCCTCAAAAAATTAAAAATAGAACTACCATATGATCCAGCAATCCCACTTCGGGGTATATATACAAAGGAAATGAAGTCAGTATGACAGAGAGATGCCTGCACTCCCATGTCCACTGCAGCACGATTCATCATAGCCAAGATACAGAACCAACCTAAGTGTTCACCAACAGATGAACTGATAAAGAAAATGTGGCATAAATACACAATGGAATACTGCTCAGCCATCAAAAAGAAGTTAATCCTGTCATTTGTGACAACATGGGTGAACACAGAGGACATCATGTTAAGTGAGATAAGCCAGGCACAGAAAGACGAATACTGCAGGATCTCACTTATCTGTGGAATCTAAAAAAGTTGATCTCATAGAAGCAGAGAGTAGAATGGTGGTTTCCAGGGGCTGGGGCAGTTGGTGGGTGGGGAGGGTTGGGAAGACACTGGTCAAAGGACACAAAATTTCAGCCTGAAGGAATAAGTTGATCTATTGTACAACATGCTGACTACAGTTAATAACAATATATTGTACTCTAAAAAAAATGCTGGGAGTAGATGTTAAGTGTTCTCACCATAAAAAAGATAACTGTGACGTAATAAACATGTTAATTAGCTAGATCTAGTCATTCCACACTGTATATATACTTCAAAACGTCATGTTGTGCACGATAAATACATATAATTTTATCTGTCAATTAAAAAAAATAACAAACGGTAGATTGCTATGCTAAAAAATCAGTAGTCATGCAAGGTTTAACCACAAGAAATCAAGAATGGCTCAACAAGAGAAAGCCTGCAGATGCAGACCCCACTTTAACAGATTAAAGGGGGAAAATATGGTGATCACAGGTGGAGAAAAAGCATTTAGTAAAATTCAGTGGTCATTCACAATTTAAAAGGAAACACACCACAAAGATCTGAAGCAAATACGGCAAACCATTAATAATGTTAAATCCGGGTATGGGTTCAGGAGTGACTGATATGATCCGTACTGTTCCATATTTTGGAAGTGATTCATTATTTTTAAAAGGAA